AGAGAGAGAGAGAGAGAGAGAGAGAGAGAGAGAGAGACAGAGAGAGAGAGAGAAAAATGGAAAGAGATACAGAAACAGACAAATAGGGATAAACATATTAGATGCGAGGCAACACCGTTCCTCATCCGCCGCCGCCGCCGCCGCCGCCGCCGCCGCCGCCGCCTCGCGCGGTTGTCACGGTAACTCACCTAGTCGGTTCGCCGGGTTGCGCTTGAACAGCGCTCTCAGGAGGTTCTGCGCTTCCGGCGACAAAAACTGCGGCATGCCGAGCTTCGCCCTGCGAGCAGAGGTCAAAGGTAAGGTCAAAGGTCGCAGCTGTCGCACGCTTGCCGACGATTGGGACGAACGTGCGACGAGTGGCGCCGCCTGACTTATGTTATCAACTTATCAGAATTATAATATTTAGATTACATATATATATATACATATAAACGGAAATAATACCTATTTTTTTAACTTAATTTGTGTCTAAATCTTGTCTTACTGTATATATATATATATATATATATTTATAATATGTATATGTATTATTATTATATATATAATATATATATATATATATATATATATTTATATTATATATACATAGTTATATATATCATCTTAGTTTTGTGATTAGCACACACATTCTTACGTGTCATACTTGAGTATGTGCGCCGTCGTCGTCGTCATATATATATACATATTAGTTGGTTCTGTGATCGGCACGTACATTATTACGTGACTTACTTGAGTATCTGCGTCATCGTCTCCTTCCTGTTCTGACCTTGGAACGGCAGCGACCCCGTCAACATCTCAAACTGCCGGCGCGAAAACAAGACAATCAGGTGGTCAAACAATCGTCAAACAACGGTCAAACAACGGTCAAACAACAGTCAAATAATGGTCAAACAATGGTCAAACAACGGTCACACAACGGTCATTCCTTTGGGACGCCGGTCACTGATGATTCCCTAAATTATCCGTCCGAACGATCGATGGAGTAATAAATAGGTTCATAAGTAGAGTAATATAATCAAGTTTTTGGCCGGTTTTTACGCTTTGTTCGCGCGAAATTGTTGCGCTGGCAATCTATTGTCGATCCCTCTTTCCCTCCACCTCCTCCTCCTCCCCCCTTCCACGCTCTTCCTCCTCCTCCTCCCTCTCTCCCTCCTCCTCCTCCTCCTCCACCTCTCCCTCCTCCT